ACTTCCCAGGGAACAGTCGTGGGGGATGCAGCCATGAAGGCTGAACAGGCTTCCTGGGCACCCAGAGGAAGCACATCCCAGAGCCCCCACCCCCTGCACCCACAGCCACGCAGGAGAGTGGGTGGCACTCACCTGCTTGTGTTGACAAACACAGAGGTCTTCTTCATCCTGCCAAAGAAGTCCTTGTTGCACATTCCCTGGGTGGCCGGGGTCAAAGCACAGGTCACCACCACAAAGTCCGACTCTTCGGCCAGCCTGGTGAGTGGCACTGAGTGCAGAGACATTGGTCACAGCTCGGCCTGGGGCCTCACCCCGCCCAGAGACCCCTCATCCCCGAGATTCACCAGCAAGTGCTGCTCCAGAGAGATCTGGCTGACCCTTCCCCACTGATGGGGAGACACAAGGACCAGCACACTGAACAGAAACCCTGCGTGTTCCTGCAGGCACTACTGCAGTGTTTGATTTCACATTTAAATTAAAATAAAGCCAAAGGGAATCCAGTGACGCTTCAGCCGTCTGGCCCAAAGGAGGCTCTGGTGTGCGTTTCCTTTCAGACAGCAAAATCCATCAACAGCAGTTTATATCTGCATTGTATCTCTCTACATGGTACCTCCAAACAACCTCTTGTGCCCCTTTCACTCCTGGAGATGAGGAGAGCACAAGCAGCAGGGCAAGCTCTGCTAATGGCTTTGTACAAAAAAAGCACCCACTGGAATGCACTGGCTTCTGATTGAATAACTAGCACTGGGTTCTAACAGGACCACAGAAAGGTCCCGTTTGGAGCTCAGGCCATGGGGCTTAGCTGGACAGTGAAATTCCTTTCAAAGCAGGGCGTTAAAGCTGTTTCCAGGAAACACCTCCTCCCAGTGAAGACCTGTAGGAGGTCTCAGCACCCATCCCATGGGGATGGCTCACAAGACCCTTGCCCTCCTCCCAGGGGCAGCTGCCACTTTCCCCCTCCTGTCCATGCCGTTCCAGTTCCCTGTGGGAATGAAACTTCCTGGACTGACAGCAATCCCTGCTCCCGACGCCTTCTCACCGAACTCGGCATCGAACTCGGCGGCACTCTCCGGCCTCGGGCGGCTGCCACTGTACAAAAACTTCTTGACCCCGAACGGCTTCAGGCGGCGGGCAACGGCCTGTCCTGGGAGCGAGGGAGAAGGTCTGGCTGCTGTGGCTGCTGCTGCAGGGCCACCAGGGCTGCCCACCTGTCTGTCCTGGGGCACGAGGTGGCCACGAGCACAACCCCCACACAGGCATGGCCCCACCGAGGGGGGATGTGCTGGGATGGCTTCTGTGGCCACCTCCCAGCCTGGAGTGTGGCAGGCACATGGGGGATGGAGGGAGGGATGGATGGATGGATGGATGGATGGATGGATGGATGGATGGATGGATGTCTGCTGCTCCTCCTCAGGAGAGCAAGAGGGAACTCCCTGCCAGAGTGAAACTGCGGAGCGGGAGCCAAGGGATGCTAAGCCTGAAGCTACCCTAGGCAGCAAACTGAGCAGTGTGGAAAGAAACAGCCACCTGCTGACAGTCTGCAAGCAAACAGATGACAAGCACGTCACCTTGGACTTTGTCAAGGCATTTGTTTAACTGAAGATTGAGAGGACAATGTCCATTTTCCTGTAGCAATCAGAGGCAGTGGATGTGTTTGAATGCTCTAAGCTGTACGGTTTAGGCCTGAAGAGTCAAGGTCACTGTGGGTCTACCCAGCCCTCTTGTTCCCTCAGAGAGGTGAACACTGGAGATTATACCTTGGCCGAACCTCCAAAATCATCCTGCCATCACTGGAGACACAAATCTTGCACTTGACCTGCACTTACCTATTCTCCCCAGACCTATGATGCCGACAGTACTATCAGACAGACCATAGCCACACATCCACAAGGGCTTCCATGTTGTCCAGCCACCACTAGCAGAGAGAGCAAGATGTCAGAGAGCAGCAGAGGGAAGCCTGCTCAGAGCCCAGACCAGCATTTGGGCAAGTACACTAGAGAGTACAAGGCTGCAGGTAGCCTGTTCTGACACAGGTCATCTTACAACCAGGCACTCCAAGGCTCCTGCTTCAAGTGACCCAGGTCGCCCTGCTGGCAGCAGCAGCCACCATCAGACTGATGCAGTGTGGGTGTACCCCGCCACTGACCACAGCCCTGGAACGACTGACAGGCAGCGAGCTCTGACCAGTCCAAGCACGCCTGCCTCGAGGGCTCTGCAGTGGCCTGGGCGGCCTCTCCCGCAGGTCCCCTGCCTGGCACGCGGGGGGGGTCTGTCCTCTCGCAGCCCCTGAGGAGCAGTC